ACAACGCCTGCATAAAGTAGACATTCTGGTAGGAAGAAGTGAACATGAACAAGAAAATATACATATTAAAATAACTTAAGATCTTGCTAACTACTATAAAAATGATAAACAAGATTCTGTGCCAGAGGATAACCTGGAGAGGCAAACTCCAGAGCAGGTGGTCGGTCAGGTAAGGCAAGAGGAATACCATTGCAGGAAGAAAGAACAAATGTAAAGGCCCCAAGAGGCAGGCAGGAGCCTGGCACATGAAAGGAAGGAAAAACAGGCCAGTTTGCTAGGGCTGGACACAAGATGCCATCGGATGAATCTGAAAGGCAGGCAAGTGCTGGAATGCCTAGAATCTTCAAAGTCATGGTGGGGAGCCTGGATTTTCTTAATAGTCCATGAGGATCCATTGAAATATTTTAAGCAATGGAACGACATGATCCAATTTATAATTTGAGAAGATTGCTTCTGTGGCCTTGAGGTGAGAGAGTGGTGAGGAAGTAAGAATGGATGCAAGAGAAACATTCATTATATCACTTCTCATTTATCATGGTCAGATATCCTTCCGCACCTACCATACCTACACACACACACACACACACACACACATGCCTGCAACCCCCAGGGATGGAAAGCTGACCCTTCCCTCAGCAGGAAACTTTTGGCTTAAATTCATTCCATTCTGTTTATTCCATTCCATTATGTTTATTTATATATGTCTTAACTATTGCCTATGACCACTCTGGAACTTCTGAAGCAAATTATGACTATATATGCATTTGTTTCACTTGAGGGTCACTTGAGACTTTGAAGTATTCTGTTTTATAACTACACTATTTAAGCATGGTTCTTGGTCTACACAGAGAGTATATGTCAGTTGTGGGGAACTAGGATGTTATAACGTTGAGGCTTGAGGCAGCTATGATAGGTCAGCACCTCAAACCACCCACGTATGATCCCATCAGAGTGGAAAGAAGCTGCTGAAAGTACATGCTCCTCACGGGCTCCCTTGTCTCCACCTCGGGAGCCTTCTCTGAACTCTGGGGTAACCTGTTGTGCTGCATGGGAGATGGGCATTCGAAGATCTTCACCTCGAGGTCACTGACCCTCAAGAAACTGGGGGAAATACCCCTTCCTAACGAGGCGGGAAGCCTGAAGGAAGAGACTTCATTTTTTTATGCTGATCAGATTACATGACAATAATGAAAAACTGAGGAAAAAACACACTGAAAACGTAATAGGTTTCATAACCAACGAGCCCCTCAGTAAGAAGGTATCATCCTTTTTCAACAACCACTGCGGTTTGTTGCTCCACAACCACAACGCCACCACCAAGTTCATGTGGACCATGTGAGAAGCACTTAGGTATTAGATATGTAGCCATCGAGCCCTGATTTTCGGTGCATTAGCGTGAGTAATTTTCGAAAGCACATATTTTAGATACACGTCTGTCATTTCATCACAAATTCAAAATTCTTATATTAAGGCACTAAATTTCACAACCAACAATACCTGAGTGTGCTAAAATCAATTTTATAGAGTTTACCGTGAGAAGCAGTAAAGCAAATTTCTCATAATCTGCATAGACAGGAATAACTAAATTAATCTCTGTACATATTGGAGCCATCCAGAAGATATAAATAAGGCAAATATAGAAAACACTGGGTGCATAAAATGCATAATTAGGACCAAACCATGCTAGTTAGCCTTTTCACAAACTTAGAGTATATTTTACAGATTTCAATTAATTTTACTATGAGAACTGGATGAGCGGTCATTCGAAAGTTACATCATTTATCATAGTTCTAGGAGTTATATCTTGCATCCATATCCCCTTCTAAATTTTGAATATTTCTTAAAATGCTTTTATGGCCTTTACTTCAAAGTGGGTTGACCATCAGTCTTCTCTTTACCCAGATGTTCCATGTCACCTAACAGGGTAGTAGGTACAGGGGCAAAAGGTGAACCCAGAAGGCGAAATCAGAAAGGTGACAGACAACCAAAGAGTGGGAGTTAAACTAATATGGATCAGCAATAACGGGGAATCTGGAGATGAAGAGAGAGCAAGAAGAGTGATGACAGCATCAAGAAAGGGCCGAAGGATATATAGACACATTACATTTGTATCGTTTGCATTTCCCTTCTGCAAATGTTCCTTCCTCTACAGCCCACTGGTCAACCTTCCACAGAGGCTTCAACCCACTAAAAATCCTGTGGGATTCGATATTTTTATTTGTGTGAACATGTAAGGAAAGGGGCTGGGTTTCACACTGGTCTGACAGCAGAGTTGCAAAGCAAAGCAAGGATCCAAAATCTTGGGTTACCATCAGAATACGAACTTGCCTAGAAGTTGTAGTATCTTTGGAAACAGCAGAAGACTTTTCCCCAGGGTATGGAATTATGGGGAAGGGTGGTCCAAATTTAACTAGCCTTCAGAAGGCATAGCATCCCAAAATCTATACAGAGAGAGAGAGACAGACAGACAGAGGGAAGTTTTGAGCGATAAATGATTAGGAAAAACAAAGCAATAAGGGTTTTGGAGGTAAGCTTCAGTTCCCCTTTGCCTTTAAAATGCAGCTGATAAGGGACCCTCTGAAAAGAAGCAATACTTATGACTTAACGAAATGGCTTATATTGAACTAACCCTCTAGTAAAAAGTAAAGCTGGACAAAATACACAAAACAACTGTTTGAAAGCACTGGAGAACAATCCGCTGAGGGAAGACTTGAAGGGTTGTGGTCCCTGAGAAAAGAGGAACACACAGGTGCATGCTCTGCATTTACCCAAGTATCTTCTTGAGAGAATTTGCTATTTCATTGTGAGGTGGAAGAGAGTAGAATAGAAAGGAGTGGTCTTACTGGCTAAGGAGACAGAGGATGGAGTTCAGGTGAACAAACCACCTGGGATTGGAGGTGTGAAATCCCAGAGAATAGGTAACTGCCTCAGTGTGGCCCTGGAGGCATGAGCCTAACATGAGCCTGCACAGGGCAGCGCTCCAGGAGACTCAGGACAAAACAGCAACCGGGAGGTTAATGGCAGAGTAGGGGTCTCGGCCACCACACAGTCTGGAGGAGAGGGAGGGTGGAGTTCAAGCCCCACCTGGGGAGGCGCTGGTAAACATCTAAGGCTTTTAGTTGAGATCCCGGAAAAACCATGTCTTAGAGCCCTGGAGGTTGGGTGAAGCTGAAACAGAGCAACCTAACAAGCCGAAGAGGAGCTCTGGACAGAATGGGAGTGGTTGGCTGGACCTTGCTCTGCCTGCCAGAAGAAAACCTAAGCCTGTTTGGAGGAAAATAGTAGGAACAATTTTCATAAGTGGCATCTATATTCAAACAAAAGTATGTCATCTGCTAAAAAGAAGGAACCGAATGACCACAACGAAACAAAACAACGCAAGAGAAAGAACAGTGCATGAAAATAATCCCAAAGGCAATTCAGGTATTGGAGTTCAAAAATCCCTATGATTACTGTTCCAGAAAATAGGGGAAAAAAGGAGAAAAAATTCAATCAAAGATATGGTATATGGATCTTTAAAAAGGAATCAAATAAAAGGAAGGCAGGGGTTGAGATCCAATATTTTCTACTTTACTATGCTGAGGCATGTTGGCTATTACTCTCTGCCCTCATTTATTCTTTCCTCTTCAATTGCTTCCTCTAGCACACCTCCACTTTTCAAAAATAGTTGTCACGTTAGGCTGTCGTAGCGACTACAAAAGACACCTGTTATTTTAAAAGTCCATCTGTTGAATTGGAAGATATGGAAGTGTCTTCAATAAGAGACAATATAACCAACAGTTAGTGTATAGAGTTTACAGTGACAGATATCTGTGCTCAGGCTCTGTCCCTACAAGTCCATGAGGTTATAAACATGTGACTTAGCCATTCTGAATCTGTTTTCTGCTCCATAAAAATTGATGGATACTTACCTCAAAAAGTCACCACAAGCACTAAATGAGAGGCTTTATCTAGGCAGAGTGCAGAGCACAAATAAGTTCCCCCCAAATATTGATACCTCCTTTGCTGTTTGCTACCGTTAACAGAGAGAAGCACACATTCAAAACCGGTTAATCTTGAACTTCGGAATGGTGTGCCATCTACATATTGACTGTCATTTGAGATCCTCAACCAAGATGAAGTAATACACAATTTGTATTCTTTCTCTGTCTTCCAAAGTGAGGAATATTAATGCCTAACAAAATGCCTGCACAATATGGGTTAGTCAAAACAATAGTTCCTCGGGAAAAAAAAAAAAGGAGTATTGCAAATATCTGGGACAAAACTCAAGGCAGCAGATTAAGCCTTTGTTGTTACAGAATGCTATGCATGCTCTGGCTTGCCTTTCAATAATCATTCCTATTAAATCATTTGTGTCTCTGACACATCTAATGAAGTCATGTTCGTGATCAGCTTAATCACAGGATGTAGCATAGTACCTATTTTGTTAGGAAAGCTGTTTGTATAAACTGAAACATGCAGCAAATACATAATTTCATAAAATACTCATTATGCTTTCAGTGTGACAATCTTTGGCTTGAATCCTTTTATGCATATTTAGTCATTTTAAGATAGACTGTTTTGGGTACTGGTTAACAAAAAGATTATTTTTGACCAAACTCCATAACAAGCAAGTGGAACGGTAAACAATTACTAACATAGCAAACCCTGAGCCATTTTTCTAGCTGAATCTTGACATTCGGGAGAAATCACACATCGGTAGGTAGCTAAATCTTATGTATCACTGAAACGGATTCTAGTTAGAAGCATGTGAAAATAAACAGGAAAGACGCTGAATTAAGGGAGGTCATCTACAAATAATACTTTCCTAGAGCATTGATAACAAACTGCAGGCTTGACTTCTGGCTAATGATTTCATTGTTCGACTAGTGGTCGAATAATCATACTTTATTCATTCAGAGACTTTTACAAGTGAAGTCATGACATATGCTTTTTACTGTTATAAATGATCTCCAGGCTCCATGTTTTAGGTCTTGGCACTAATTAGAAGTGAGACTTACATCACTCTCGTGACCTTCTCGAAGGTTGTATGTGAGGTCATGCTGAATATCTTCCACGAATTTGTGAGCATATTCTGGGTAAAGGTCTAGCACTTCAAAGAGTCCTTTGAGGATGATGCACTGAAGATCACAGTAGGTTAAAGCCTTCACATCTGCGTTGGTCTTGATCACTTGGTCCTTAATTGATAGATTTGCTCCAATTAAGTCTCCTTTCCCTTGAAACAGTGAAAAAAGAGACAGGTTAATTTTAAAGAAAAGCAAGCTGAGACTGGCGACCTCATCTGACTTACAGGCATCACTTGGCTGAGATGACACCACAAGGGAAACCGAAACCTTCATCTCCGCGGTGTTGCGATTCGGGGCCTGGTAATTCTTTGCGGTCGGGGGTTTTCTGCACAGTAGAATGTTTAGCAGCAGCTCATATCCCCGACCCCCAGTGGTGACAACCCAAAACACCTTCAGATATTGCCAAATGTCCCCTGGCAGGCAAAACTGTTCCCAGCGAGAACAGTAGTCAAGGGGGTAAGGGCTAGGAGAGCCAGACTTAGGAACTGTTAGGTCACAGATGGGCTCCAGACAGTCCCTCAGCATCCCATAATTGACTTTAGACAGAGAAGTTGACATCTGTGTCACAGTTGCCTCAACTCTTCAAGGGACATAGTAATGGCTCTGATTTTTTTGAGTGCAAAAAGGCTCGAAACGAGACCATCGAACGTATATTACTACTAATTTTCATTCTAACACAGTAAGGTGGGATTCATCATCAGCTTTCTAACATACTCAGGTTGTTTCATCTACCTCTAAACATGTCTACAAGACAGGAGGGCGAGGAAGGTGAGCGTGCCCTGCCTCCCTCTGCTCAGAACTGGGAGGCAGACATCAAGTATTGCGCGTCATGGACGGTGAAATCTACTACATAAAAATGTGAAACATAAGCTGCAGTTCTAATACTCTGTGACAGCGCGAAAGCCCAATTTTCCCATCAAAAAAGAAAGCGAATAAATAAAAGCTATGAGCTTTTCGCTTGTGCCACTGCAGGGAGAGAGACGTATCACCATTTGGTGGCCTGTGCCCACCCCACACCCAGCACCCCTGATGCTCTGCGTGTAACACCTCAGCCTATCAGTCTTTGGCTGGATTCACCTGCCTGGAACTAGCTGGCTTCCTTGCGTTTATGATTAGATAATATTGGCCAATGTATTTGAATCTTTAAAATCTTTCAACTGATTTGAATCAGTTTCGCTTAGCAGGAAGGTGAGCATAAATGTAAAGAGCTAACAAAAAAACCCTGATTACAGCTTCAGATTTTAGACACAGCCATTATCAGCATCCCTGTGAGAAACATGAAAGAAAATCCATTCAGTTCTCACACAAACTTAGGTTAAATGCTGAAATAATATGACCTAAGTTCACAGAGGATACTGGCATTAGATTCATGGCTACAACTTAGGAGTTTCTTTGCTTTGTCCTTCTGCATGGGCTTTAAATTTCATTATTTTTTTTAATGGCCGCCTGCTCCATTTCAGAGGGAATCAACAACCAACAACTGATCGACAGAAAAACCACCAAGCAAATAGTATCTTTGGAATGGTATACAACAAATTGCCCTGTCCTCCATTCAATTAAGTTTTTAACTTCTACATTTTCATTCCTTTATCGTGCCCAGCATTTCAGGAAGCAAAGCCTCTGACTTGTATCAGACTTCAACAAAATTCTGTTTTATTGAATTTCACAGGAAAAGAAACATGCCAAATTAACCATGAACACCTGAAATGTTCATAAATATGTAACAGATAAGAATTGAACATCTGGAAATTATTGGATTACATCTAAATATTATCTCTGAATTAACATTAAATTTAAACTTTGAAATTGAGCCTAGTTGGCCAAAGAAAAAACAGGGCTAAAATCTATACTTACAGATGCTAAGGGAGTAAACAGCCACATGGTGCTAGAGAAGTCAAGTTGCATTTAAATGTTGTCACCAATAACGCTAACCTCGGAAATTGTTTCTTACATATTTTATTAGAAATCTAAATTAGTGCTCGAAAACTCAAAGTTGGGCACAGATGTAAATATATAGCCCAGATGCTCTGAATACAGCAAATTTTGAAATTTGTATATCTCAGGAGAATTTATCACGATGCAGTGTCTTGCCACAAAGAAGATTTACATTTTTCTGTGAAGCAACTGCTGTTTGGAGTGACTTTATTTATTTAAACATTAAAAAAAATGTTTATTTATTTTTGAGAGCGAGAGATAGAGTGCTAGTGGGAAAGGGAAAGAGAGAGAGGGAGACACAGAATCCGAAGCAGGCTCCGGGCCCTGAGCTGTCGGCACAGAGCCTGACACGGGGCTAGAGCTCGCGAACCACGACAGCGTGACCTGAGACAAAGACGCTTCACTGACTGAGCCACCCAGAAACCCCTACAATGACTTGAGAGTTATCAGACTTTCCTACCTAGGGTGACTGTAGCATGGCTATTTAAGCCACAATGACCCCAGCTATAAAACACCACCAACATCTTGCCAAACTTGGCATCCTAGAAAGAATTCCAGTTTATTTATTCATTGAGTGAATATTTATGAAACACTGACATGTGTTGTGGACACTGTTGAGCCCTGGCAAGGTGAGCACTGGTAAATTACAACATGGTTTGCATCCTTGCTGATTGTACGGTCTTATGAATTTCTCACTACCGTGCATTAGGACCTTCATCTAAGTTGCCTAATTACTCTAAGTCCTGGTATCCTTATTTCTAAAAGAAGAGCAAGATCTCTATGGTCCCTTACTACTTCCATTTTTCAGAATTCTATTATTGATATTTGCTAGCCAGTTATTCTTCCACAGGGGGTAGGGGTAGCTGATGAGATGTATCTGCAAACTGTCCAGGTTAGAGCAATAACATGTTTAATTATAATTAGGCAGACTAACACCATCCGTGAAGAACACATTTATCAGTGCTTTGTCATTTTCTTTTAAACAACAATGAAGAAATTGCTGGAAAAACACAATTACCAGGACATGAAATGAAGGTGTGCAAAGCAAACAATTTCTACCCCCATAACAAATCTTTGCCTCTAAGTCAACTGCCTCCCCAGGCATCAGATTAAGAAATGCCTTCATGTATTGATTGGACAACTGAGGTGCTTGAATAAGTTATGGCTTGACAGCTGTTTGGTGATACTTCCTCCCTACAACATTATATATTAATTCATTTTGTTGGCAGAGTGAACATGTATTAAATATCTACAGATCAAATGTGAAGCCATGTGCTTAAGTGTATCAAAGTCAGTATTGATTTTAATTGGCCCTATAAGACAATATTACCACAGGGAAAGTAAAATACTCAATCTCCACCGAAATAATGTTAATCACAGGGATAAAATATTAATAATTCGTTATCCTTGTTTGGGTTTAGTCCCAATACCACACAGGAGTATTTAGAATGGTCATGTGGCAATTTGCACTTAAATCATTTTTGATGTTGTGGAAATGAATATGTGAAAATGCTAATCATGAAAATCATAATTTATGGAGGAAATCGGGGCCAAGAGCAAAAGGCAACGGATTAAATCTTTCAGCTGTGAGTAGAATGTTTTAAATAAGAAAATCCAGTTGAATTATGTATTACAAACAATGTTAATTACCTAGAAGCCATCAAATTTGTACCTATTATGTTCTAATGTTATGGCGGTTGCCTTCATATTCCATTCCTAGTATCGTTGCTAGTTACCAAATGTAAAAATTCAGCACAATTATGGGGAAAAACCACCTCATATGTATTTAAACATCATGCATTATTTTGGCTTACAAGCATATGAAGCCATATAGTTCTGGAAAATAACTATATGCCCTTTTAAAAGCAGGCTATGTCAATAGGCAGGCTACAAAACTTACATAGTCCTAAGAAAGCCCATGGAAAGGTATGTTATGATTAAAGTTAAGTTTTTGAAGCAAATTCAGAAATAATTATCAATTGTAATTTAGAGCCATGAAATAATAGGATGATTGGCCTTTAACTTCACAGAGTTGAGAGTGAGCAGGAATGTTAAGTCTCTTCTTAAAAACACACAAACACAGAGAGCCTCACTCTAACACTGATGATGAACTGGCCAAGTTGAAAATAAACCCCGTCGCTCTTCTGTCAGTACTTTTCTGTTCAGGAGAAAAACATAAGAGGGTGAGTCAAGAGTTGAGCCAAAGCTCTGAAAGGCAAGCCCTACCTTTTCCCTGGTACATGGCCGACTGAGTAAACATGAAGCAATGGGAAGCACCTGTTTATTTCACTATTCCCTAGCCTCCACTCTTCACCTTTAATTGGAGATAATCACAACAACCTAACGGGGCAGTAGGATTTAAATTGGATAATGGATATAAAACACCCGGCTCATATTAGGGAGTCTCTAAATTTTAGTTCTCCTTTCCTTTTCCAAAGTATAATCTGTCTTGAAGCTTACAAACTAGAATCCAGTGATGGCAGGCTTATAGGGATGAGATAGAAAAATAGGCATTGCTTAGACGTGGAAAAGAGCGCCGGAGATAGAGTCAAAAAACCTAGGTTAGCTTTGACTTTGGAAAAAACAGAAAACACCACTCTTATCTGTCTCTTTGTGTTAGGAAGGCTTAAGCAAGACCCGATATGTAAAAATATGTTATAAACGGTTAAGTTGTTTCTAAATCTTAGCTCTTGAATATGTTAAATATAAATTAGCCCCTTTTTATGAACACAAATTCTAAACAGTGGCGTACTACATTGGTGTTCAAAATATATTTAGATCACAACCTGATACGTTCGTAAGCCCCAATAAATATTTGAATAAACAAAAAACGAGTGATTTTAAAAGAAGTACACATAAAATTGTGGGTAGGAATTTTTCTATATTCACTCTACATGACACCTTTTGTCAGCTGACCTTTATATTTCAATGAACACCAATTAGGTCTTAAAAGTTGGGAGTCAGTTTTGTGGTACAAAATCTTCACAAACTCTCTTGTGAATTTTCTTTGAGGAAGTTAAAAAAAATAAAAAAGAGGCCTATGGCCACCTTGACAGTATTGGGTTAGTGACTGCAATGAGACCTCATCTTCAGTGCATGATCACTTTTGTGTTATTTCTAGCACAGATGGAGCCATTTTCATGTTCTTCTCTGACTTTGTTCTCCACAAAAATACAAAAATGCCCCTTTAAAATTGACCAGCTATTTCACTAAGAGGCAGCAGGCATCACGACTAATAATCTGGCTTTAGGAATCAGAAAGAACTGTGTTCATTTTCTTATGTTATTTGGGACAAATTAAGTTAACATACTATTTAGTCATTTGTAAAATGGGGTTAATGTTCATTCTGCTGGATTTAAACAAATTTTTTTCATGTTTATTTATTTTGGGGAGAGAGAGCGCAAGAGAAAGTGGGCGAGGGGTAGAGAGTGAGAGAGGGAGACGAAGGATCTGAAGCGGGCTCTGCCCTGACCACAAAGAGCCTGCTCTGGGTCTCAGTCTCACTAACTGTGAGATCATAGCCTGAGCCAAAGTCAGACACTTAAACAACTGAGCCACCCAGGTGCCCCTGGATTTGTTTTTAATCCAGCACTATGAATCCAGATAGAGAGTGAGCACGCATATGTGAGCAGAGGAGGGGCAAAGAGAGTGATGCTCCACCGACTGAGCCACCCAGGTGCCCCAATACTGCTGGATTTTTAACAAGAATGAAATGATATGTTGAATGTGGAAACTCAGTATGTGGCAGAACAATATTAATACATAGTTGGCGAATTAAATCCATTCAAATTTGCCTGATTCCATATATTCATCCAGAATTTTCTTACAATAGCAGTACCTCCCTCCCCCCTTTTTTTCTTTTTAACTTATGCTCTAGGGTAAAATTTCATGAAGCTTTTCAACTCCGACGTACCAAGAATAGCCAGCACCATGCTGTCTTTAAGAACTTCCATGGAGCCTGAGCATACAAAGTAGATGGCCTGCAAAGCATCTCCTTGACGCAGCAGATACTCCCCCGGAGCACAGAAAGAGGTTTTGATGTGTAGAGACAGAGACCTGAGGCAGCCCCGGCTGGCACACTCAAAAAGGGACAACTGTAAGATCTCCTTGTTCAAATGCATAGTGATGTCAGAACGCAGCTCATCTGGAAAGTCTTTCAAAAGCTGTCAAGATGAAAGAAGAAATCAAGTTGGGGTAAGTCTAGTCTAATTGATTTACTCTGCAAGACAAGGGGGTGTTCTTCCCACTGTTTGACCAATAAGAGTATAGAAGAGGAACTATATGTATGTGATAGTCCTGGAGAGATTTTTTTTTTTAGTGACTGTGACCCCAGTTAGGTGCTAATTAAAAATTAGCTGATAATAAGGCCGGGGAAGTAGAATACATTAATAAAAGATTCTGGAACGAAAACGTATGGCATACTGTGACATGCTTCTCACAAAGACTCCTACTCGGAACAGAAGATATGGAATTTGGGCCCACTGGTGTTTCCTCTAGATTATGATCACACGAAGAGAAAAGAAACCAAATAATTACTTAAAAGTATGGATTACTAGCTTGATTGGGAGGGAGCGGTTGTAGCACGTTTGTTTGATTTATAGGATACCTTTCTTACAGTGGTGGTCTGGAGTATTCCTGGGAGTCTACAGATAACACGTGTGCTGGAAGATATTTTCGGTTTTACTTTGTTGGTTCTAAAGGCACACATTAACTTAGTTAATCTCAATTCCGAGATGACACCATTTAGTAGTCATAAGAATTGGTTCCTCCGAAGAGGGCCAATGAGGATGAAAGTTAGGCAATCCAATTGACCAGAATAGCAAATTAACATAAAACACTGGTCAATCCAAAGTGGCGTAATGAAAACATAAGCCAAAGCAGATGAAAGAAGATAGACGGGTTTCACGAGGGATTAAAAAATAGGGATGAGGAAGTTGGTAGATGTGTACTTCACTTCCAAGACCTGAATCTGAGCACCTTGCTTTTACCTAAGAATATGTGCTTTCTGCCTGAAAACCTCAGCATGAGAAATGAACATTACCTCATTTGAATCTATTCCATTGTTGACTGACCAGGTTGTTTGGAAATATTCGAGCATCCTCTGCTTGAGCTGCTGGGGCAGGTGATGGACTCGTATAAAGTCCTTCAGATCCTTAGTTCTAGTGTGATAGAGGGACCATCTGGAATACATCCTCTGTATGATCGCGGTCACGTTTCCAAACACCAAGGCGTGCATCAAGGCTAGAGAAGACAACACAGCATACAGTGGGAGAGAACTATGACGGAGGGGCTCACCCGTTAAGTCTAAATTTAAGTTTATAGATCCTGAATTTGGCAGAGTATGTTTATGTGGCCATGTTGACACAGCTGTTTTGGTACAAGCGTTTTGGTACAGCCACTTCGCCATAGAGTGCATCTTAATGTCGTCATTTTGATCAGAGTTAAAATCGATCAGAATAAAAATATCTGCCGAAAATCCTCAGTAATAGGCAAAATTGACCCACACTTAATCCGTTACCTGCCATTCTGGCCAGGACAAACTTTTATTTTGTACTTTTCGCATCTACATTTTTAACAGGTAAAGTTTAATAGCCATGATAAAATAATTTTAATATAATTTCATAAAATAAACTATAAAGTTATAGTTCAGTGGTTATCATAATAACAAATACATTTTCAAAATTAGTCTAAGTGGTTAGCCCTAGTCTTTTCCCCTAAGCCATCACTTAAAATTAGTTTTATGATATTAAATATGACACATTTTTTTTTAATTTTTTTTTTCAACGTTTATTTATTTTTTGGGGACAGAGAGAGATAGAGCATGAACGGGGGAGGGGCAGAGAGAGAGGGAGACACAGAATGTGAAACAGGCTCCAGGCTCTGAGCCATCAGCCCAGAGCCTGACGTGGGGCTCGAACTCACGGACCGCGAGATCGTGACCTGGCTGAAGTCGGACGCTTAACCGACTGCGCCACCCAGGCGCCCCTAAATATGACACATTTTTATTAATAAAGGTATGGAGAAAGTGGCTAGAAATGTAACTGAGGATTTTCTGAGCAATCTGAAGCTGAGATTAATATGGCTCCAATCGCCAACCCCACTTTGGCTCTGTGGTTACTCCGTGGTTAAATTTTAAGGGAGATATCAAAAAATCTGAGATCATTAGAGAAACAAATACATTCACAGAGGAAAACTGGTATTCTGCCTAGTGTTATGTTGCCATCCTGAGAAGAACCAGGTGGTACATATACATAGGACTCCTGTTTTGATGAGCTTTCTCAGATTATATTTAATCCCCAATTTCTTTTTTTTTAAATAGGAAATTTATTCTCACATTGGTTTCCATACAACACCCAGTGCTCATCCCAACAGGTGCCCTCCTCAATACCCATCACCCACCCTCCCCTCCCTCCCACCCCCCATCAACCCTTAGTTTATTCTCAGTTTTTAAGAGTCTCTTATGCTTTGGCTCCCTCCCTCCCTAACTTTTTTTTTCCTTCCCCTCCCCCATGGTCTTCTGTTAAGTTTCTCAGGATCCACATAAGAGTGAAAATATATGATATCTGTCTTTCTCTGTATGACTTATTTCACTTAGCATCGCACTCTCCAGTTCCATCCACGTTGCTACAAAAGGCTGTATCTCATTCTTTCTCATTGCCACGTAGTATTCCACTGTGTATATAAACCACAATTTCTTTATCCATTCATCAGTTGATGGACATTTAGGCTCTTTCCATAATTTGGCCATTGTTGAAAGTGCTGCTATAAACATTGGGGTACAAGTGCCCCTATGCATCAGCACTCCTGTATCCCTTGGGCAAATTCCTAGCAGTGCTATTGCTGGGTCATAGGGTAGGTCTATTTTTAATTTTCTGAGGAACCTCCACACTGTTTTCCAGAGTGGCTGCACAAATTTGCACTCCCAACAGTGCAAGAGGGTTCCTGTTTCTCCACATCCTCTCCAGCATCTATAGTCTCCTGATTTCTTCATTTTAGCCACTCTGACTGGTGTGAGGTGATATCTCAGTGTGGTTTCGTTAATCCCCAATTTCTTACTGAACCGTCCCCTTTCTGAAACCACCACCCAATTATAATAAGATAGAAAACTTTGTTCACACGAATTCAACAGTTGGTGGGGATTGGAGATGGGTCTTCTACCAGGAAAAAAGGGATTTCTAGGAGTTGCCCAATGTAGGGAGCAGTCGGGAATCTTAAAATCAGAAAATTCAGGACAGGAATTTGCACTAAATAGTCATCAACCAAACAGAACTGGAATGGCCCCTGCAGATGCCATCAGATAGTCCAAGAAGGTCTTCGACCCACCTGGGGCTGTGACATTGGAAGACGTGAGGGCTGGGTATAGTTACATTTATGGGCAGATCAAGTCTCAGATATTCAGATTTCAGCCCAGCAGTTTTCGGTTAAAAAAAAAAAAAAAGACTACAAGTCTAGTAGTTTGTCTATTAGGAGCTCTCGAAGTGTCCCTGTACCAAAATCTCAATGTCCAAGGAGCTCTGTTAAAGTTTCTTACATCAAAATGGATACATTTATGCAAAAACACCAACATGTTACTGCATCTATCTTCCTGAATCTCCATCCTATTTCAGGATAGCCCCAAATAAAATTCTTTCCTCTACATTTGTCAGAAATTATGGATCACTGGCATACTAATTTCGATCTAATCTAACATTGGAATTAAAATTCTTTTAGGTTATATATCATCATTTCTCTATGAAAGATAGGATCACCATGCCTATAAAGACAGCTGGGAATAATAAGGAAACACTCAATATTTTGGAAAAGTTACTAGAATAGGGTTAAACTTAGGGCCTACATACAGGAGGAATATAATGTTGCAGAGAGAATATGGACTTCAGAATCAAACACATAGGGATATGAAACCTGACTTTGGCACTTCCTAATTGTGAACTTGGGAAGATACATAATTCCCATACATGGATGCAGTTCCCTTATATATAAATGGGCATAGTTGTCCCTTATTCATAGGGCTTTTTTGAGATTTAAAGAGTTAATATATATATTATATAAATATAAGTATGACTATTATTATTTAAATATAAAATTATATTAAATATAAATCTATATATTTAAAAAAAATTTTTTTTTTCAACTTTTTTTTTTTTTATTTTTATTTTTGGGACAGAGAGAGACAGAGCATGAACGGGGGAGGGGCAGAGAGAGAGGGAGACACAGAATCGGAAACAGGCTCCAGGCTCTGAGCCATCAGCCCAGAGCCCGACGCGGGGCTCGAACTCACGGACCGCGAGATCGTGACCTGGCTGAAGTCGGACGCTTAACCGACTGCGCCACCCAGGCGCCCCTAAATCTATATTTTTTAAAGTGCTTAATGTTTTGTGTGAAAAACGGGTGCTCATTTTATGTTCATTTTCCCCATGATAGTGAAAAGCATAATCATGAATTTTCAACACGCTCTGTGGCGTAAAATATGGGGGGAAAGACTCAGGCAAGGTTTTCCAGCAACCTCGTAAATATTTAAGAGTGGTTGTTAGTGGGAATGACTTCTTGATGAAAGAAATTCAAGAAATATTTAGTAAGTTCCTGCTCCATACAAATGTAGGCAAGTGTATATTCTCCCCAAGTTTTCAAAAATGAAACGTTTTCCAATAGGTCAAAACTATCCTAAGAAAAATGTGCATTACCTAATAACTTACTGTTGAATGGCTCTTGGTAAATTCCAAATTGAGATCCGTTCTTCTGTAGGAGCACAGTGGCTCTGAGGTCAAATATTTTGTTTGGAAGAAGAGCCCTCTATTTATGATAAACACTCAGCAAAGAAGAGAAGCGATTCTGCTCCAAGTCAAAGAAATTAAACACCAATTTCAGGCTCAGTTAATATACTTATGGGCTCGGTGTGTGGAAGGCCCTACCGTCTGTAAAAGTATGTAATGGTCTTTCATCGAGATTAAACTGACTACTGAGAACAATTCTATTTCATTTATTTTAACACTGCCTTCCTTAATTACGTATATGATTTTAACTTTGCTTTGCTTAATTATAATGTGTGTAGAGCACTTAAAGTAAGAGAAGTGATATGTTCAGACCGTTTAGCATCCTGATTGTACATCATCAATAAAATGAATTAATGGATTAATTGTAGCATTCTCAGTGTTGTTGGAAAGTCCCAGTCTATATTCGAGTCACCATAATTTCAAAGCCTCATTTCAGCATAGGCAAATACTTCTAATTTAAGTAGTTAAAAAAATAAAACCCCAACTTCCATAATTTTCCAGTTTCCAAAGGTATTTTGCCTCTCTGTCACCGGTTATCATTTTCACACCGGTGAAGCATATATATAACTATCAGGCCGAATCATTCCGTCTGCTATGAAAGTTTGACTCAAAAATGGCAATATCCAGGTCAGTTTGGAAGTTATCATTCACTTTTCCTTTTACTCCTAGCAAATCTGACGTATATAATTCTTAAAGTAGCATGCTGGGTCTGCTGCTGAGTGTGTGGGAGGCTCTTTTGCTTTGTGTAGGCATTTTGTATAGAATGCATTTTGTAAAATCTCGCCTTAATATCAGGTCTTGGAGGAAGCTCGATAATTGGGATCTCAGAAGAAAGTAAATAGATCTTCGGTGAAAGAGTCCTCCGAAAGGGCTGCCTGGCTTTCTGTCTGTCTCCTTTTTCTTCCTTATTCTTCTCCTTTCCCTTCCCCCTTTTCTTCCCTTCCCCGCCCATCCCCTTCCTTCTTTTTTTTCTCGCTCCCTACTTCTTTCTCGGGATTTGGGGCAACATTGCTCTCCTGAGGTATACCATCGTTGCTGAGTTCTTTAGCCAACCACTTCGCGTTGCCTTCAGAGTCTACAGAGGGACTGTTTGCTCCTGATATAAAAGGAGACCAGAGCTCAGGCTCTGGGTAATCTTAGCTGTCCTCCTCCTCTCTCCCACCTACTCACCGACCTGGAATTTTCCACTCCTGTCAGAGTACACTGGGTTGTGGATGGCAGATGGCAGAGAAAACAGAGTGAGAACAATTTCCTAAATGACAAATTCAAATGGCAGTGTAGACGTCTTTAAAAAAGCCTGAATTTGTGAACACCATAGCCCATATGGGTCCAATAAAATTATGTCAGGAGAATATATATATATAGGATGAGAGGACCCAAGGAAAGCCTTCACTGTTACGAATTTCACTTTACCTTTTTCGGGACAACGACGCCTCATTTAAACCGGACATGTCCTCAGTGGTGAGTCAC